ATCATGGCTCACTGCAATCTTGAACTCCTAGGCTCAAGTGATCCTCCCGCTTCAGTCTCCCAGGTAGCTGGGAATACGGAACGTGCCACCACATAAAGCTACGTTTTTTAAATCTTCTGTAGAGACAGGGTCTTGTTATGTTGCCCAGGCTGGTCTCGAACTCCTGGCCTCAAGTGATCTTCCCATGTTGGTCTCCCAAAGTTGCTGGGATTATAGGTGTGAGACACCCTGCCCAGCCAGTTTAGCAATTCTTTTGTAAATAAAAATTATTGTACAAAAATGAATTCTATTTTCACATAAAAGCAATCAACACTTAGGAAACAGAAGTTTCAAAAAAGATGCCATTTATAAGAACATTAAAAAATATCAAGGACCAATAATAAATCTACAAAAGATATGCTAGGCCTCTTTGGTGGAAGCTGTGAAAGTTTATGTATTCACAGACATTAAAGCAGCCTAAACAATGGGGAGATCCACTGTGTTCAAAATTAGAAGATTCAGTGGTGTAAGAATGTTAATTTTCCCCCAAATTGATCCATAATTCAATATAATCTTAACCAAAATCCTAATAAGTTAATTGGTTATTGTTTGTTTTATTTATTTTAGTGGAACTTTGCAAGCTGATTTAAAAATTTTTGCAAATACGGACGGCCAAGAATTAGCCAAGAAAATATTTAAAAATGTATAATACTTTCCCTACATAATAGATCATATAAAGGCAGTACTTTATAGCCGTAGAGAAAATACTCTTTTAATAAACGGTGCTAAGACAAATTGGTGTAATATACGTAATTAATTAATTAACTAATTAACCTGGACTCCCAAATTACACTGTACAAAAAAATCAATCCCAGGTAGATTTTAAGATCAGATGTAAAAGGAAGAACAAAAAAGCATTTAAAATACAACACAGTAGAATACCTTCAAAATACTGAAATAGGAAAAAAATTCTTAAATATGATATAGAAAACACTATTAAAAAAAAGATTGACAAATTTAAGTATTTTAAAATTAGGCATTCTCACTACCAAATTCATCATTAAGTGTGTAAAACAGCAAGCCACAGAGAAGAAATATTTGAACCACTCATAACTGACAATGGATTTGATCTAGAACTGTGGTCCCCATGCAGACTGATATCAGTCTGCAGCATGTTAGGCACTGGGCTGCAGAGCTCCGCTGCCCCCTCCCATTCCATGGAAAAACTGTCTTCCATGAAACTTAGGAAATGGGGGAATGGTATTTAGAGCCGCTCTCCATCACTGGCTGATATCACCGCCTGAGCTCTGCACCTGCATCTGCACCGCCCCACCCCTACCCCCGCCGTGGAAAAATTGTCTTCCATGACACTGGTCCCTGGTACTAAAAAGGCTGGGGGCTATTGAATAAAGTCCTAAAAACCATTAAACAAAGGCAGACAACCACATGTAAAATGGGCAAAAAACTCCAGACACTTCAAAAGAGAAAATCCAAATGGTCAACATACACATGAAAAAAATGCAAATCCTCATAAGCCATCAGGGAAATGAAAGCTAAAATGAGATACAACTATAAATAACCAAACTGGCAAAAATTTAAAAATCTGACGACTCTAAGTATTACTGAACACATGAAGGAATGGGAACTCTCGTATTGTAGGTATAAGTAAAAATTAAGACAAACCCTTTGGAAAACAGTTGGGTATTATCTGGCAGAGATGAAGACACACATATCCCTACAACCCAACAAATTCTACTTCTAGGAAATATCCTAAATAAAAGTGAATATATGCATATAGGATATATATATAAAGGAAAGACTCTACAGGATTGCTATTTGTAATAATCAAAGAACAGAAACTACTCATGCATCTATCAATAAAATGGGTAAATTGATCTACAGTCAATGGAGTATCATACAGAAATGAAAATCAGTGAATTGTAGCTACATATTATAATATGAATGAATACTAAAAACATTATGTAAAACTAAACTAGTATTTAGTGATACAAACTTTGATGGTAACACTATATACAAAATTAAGCAATTATTTCACTAGTCAAGACAGTGAGTAGTTTGATGGGTAGCTGCGGTTGAGGAAGAGCACGCTATGGATTTCTGGAGGGCAGCCCATGTTCTCTTTTTTGTCCTGAGTGGTAATCACAAAGTGTTTATTTTCTAATGTTTTGAAAACTTGTTCATTTATGTTTCATGTACTCTTTCATATGTAGTATATTTCACAAAAGAAAAGTTAAAAAAATTAAAAGGTCAATAAAATTGAGAATAGTGGTCATTCCGAGGGAAAGGAGAGATGGAATTGAAGGTAGACTGGTAACTTCAAAGGTATTTGTAATGTTTGATTTCTTAAGCTGGGCAGTGAGTATACTGCTGTTTCTTTTATTATTATATTTTGTACATGTACTTTATATATTGTTTTATATGTGTGTCACCCAAAGTACAAATGACAAAAAAGCTGATAAACTGAAATTTATCAAAATTAAAAACTTTTACACTGCAAATGATACCATCAAGAAAGTAGAAAACATAATCCATAGAAAGGGAGAAAATACTTGTAAATCATGTATCTCATAAGGGATTTATATCCAGAATGTATAAAGAACTTTTTCAATTCAATAACAAGAAGATGAATAACACAATTTTAAATGGCAAAAGATTTGAATAGACTTTTCTCCAAAGAAGATACACAAAAAAATGTGCCAATAAGCACATGAAAAGATGTTCAACATCTTTAGATCCTTAGGAAAATGCAAATCAAAATCATAGTGAGATACCATTTCGTATCTACTAAAGGTGGCTAATCAAAAATCTGTCTTTTTGATTAGCCACCTTTAGTGACAAGTGTTGGTAAGGATTTGGAGAACAGAAACTCTTATTCATTGCTGGCAAAATGAGAAATGTTGCAGCCATGTTGAAAAAAAAAAAGAGTTTAGAAATTTCTCAAAATGCTAAATGTAGAGATACCATATGACCCAGCAAATCCACTCTTAACTATCTACCTAAGAGAGATGAAAACATATATGCATGCAAAGACTTGTACACTAATGTTCATAGCAGGTTTATTCCTAACAGCAAAAAGTGGAAATGACTCAAACTAGTACAACCTCTGTGGAAAGTAATATGGAGATACCTCAAAGAGCTACAAGTAGAACTACCATTTGATCCAGTAATCCCATTACTGGCATCTACCCAAAAGAACAAAAGACATTCTATAAAAAAGACATCTGTACTCAAATGTTTATAGCAGCACAATTCACAATTATAAAGATGTGGAAACAAGCCAAGTGCCCATCAATACATGAGTGGATTACTAAATGTGGTATATGTATACCATGGAGTTCTACTCAGCCACAAAAAAACAACGGTGATCTAGCACTTCTTGTATTAACCTAGATAGAGCTGGAGCCCATTCTACTAAGTGAAGTATCATAAGAATGGAAAAAAAAGCACCACATGTACTCACCATCAAATTGGTATTAACTGATCAACACTTATGTGCACATACAGTAGTAACATTAATTGGGTGTTGGGCAGGTAGAAGGGGGAGGAGGGGATGGGTATATTCACACCTAGTGGGAGCGGTGCGCACCATCTGGGGGGATGGACACGCTTGAAGGTCTGACTTGGGCGGGGCAAAGGCAATATATGTAACCTAAACGTTTGTACCCCCGTAATATGCTGAATTAAAAATAAAGTGGAAATGATTTAACTGTTCATCAACTGATAAATGGATAAACAAATCTGGTATATCAACACAATGAAATACTACTTGGTAATACAAAAGGAAAGAAGTATTTACACGTGCTACAACATGGATGAACCTCAAAAACATCATGCTTGGTGAAAGAAACCACATACAAAAGATCACATAGGGTATAATTCCATTTATATGAAATATCCAGAATAGGTAAATCTATACAGATAGAAAGTAGATTAGTCACTATCTACTACTGGGGTAGGCATAAGGATTCTTTTCAGGGTGATAGAAATGTTCTAAAATTAGCTTGTTGTGATGGCTGCACATCTCTGTAAATACACTAAAAACCATTAAACTGGCTGGGCGCAGTGGCTCACGCCTGTAATCCTAGCTCTCTGGGAAGCCGAGGCGGGCATATTGTTTGAGCTCAGGAGTTCGAAACCAGCCTGAGCAAGAGCGAGACCCCGTCTCTACTAGAAATAGCAAGAAATTAATTGGACAACTAAAAATACATAGGAAAAAAAAAATTAGCCGGGCATGGTGGCGCATGCCTGTAGTCCCAGCTACTTGGGAGGCTGAGGCAGAAGGATTGCTTGAGCCCAGGAGTTTGAGGTTGCTGTGAGCTAGGCTGATGCCATGGCACTCTAGCCTGGGCAACACAGTGAGACTCTGTCTCAAAAAAAAAAAAAAAAAAAAAAAAACCATTAAACTATACATTTAAAATAGGAGAATTTTTTAATATGTAAATGATATCTTAATAAATTTATAAAAAGTTGTCAAGTAGGGCAGCTTCCATAAATAATTGTTGCATTTTTCTGAAAGAATGTCATTTAAAACTCTTACAACTTGATTTTGCTCTATTGGCAGTTTGGTTCCTCCCTGCCTCCATATCCTTCCCTCTTTAAGGGAGAAATAGTACAGGGGCATAGGAAATATTAACTTTTTGAAAACACAAAAAGATTTCTTCACAGATAAAAAAAATTCTCAACTGTTAAATAACAAAGAATATTTCTTAGGGCTGACAAAAAATAAAATGGATTTAAAAATAAAGAAAATGAGATAGTGAGGCAATTTTCAAAATTCTGAATGGTAGAAAACAGGGCTTTATCCCATAAACCCTGAGGTAATAGTTTTTGAAACAGCTTGGTACAAGATAGGTAATATTTTGGGAACTTTAATGTTTTCATAAAATAAGAGTACTAAGAGTACTTTTGCATCAGCTAATACAATAATCTGTCATTTAAGGGCACATCCTTGTAAATATCTGTTTTTCCAGAAAAAATTTCTGTAGGAGGATTGTTTTTACCGTTGATGTGAGGAGGAAACTGCCAGGCCTTGTTAATTGAGGGACCGATGTTCCTGCAATTGCCATCGCAACGGTCTGGCTTATCATATTTCCACTGTCACTTTCAAAATCATCCGTCGCTATACAAATTGGTCTTCCTCGTTGATTGTGAGTTTCTGAGAAAAATAAGCCCCCAAAATTAAGTAACAACACTGTTTAGCTCAACTAACAGTTATTGAACATGTACTTCCTTTTCCTATTTTCTATTATTCTTTAAAAGTAAAACCTGTTAACATGTAATATTTATCATTAGATTTACTTCTTCTAGATAATATTTTAATCAATAACTCATTCTTATGGTAATAATTTATAGTTTTAGAGAACTTTACCTTGCTAATAAAAGATATAATAATATAAACATTTCTGCCTTCAGGAAAGGAAATCCATTTTAGTGATCAAAATACTGGGAAGACTATACTCAACTATCAGTCCCTTAAAGGCAAAAAGTTCGTTATCTTTATAGCATCAGCATCTGTCAAAGTTCTTAATACATATTAGGTACTCAGGAAATGTTTTTGTTTTATTGAACTGGAAGTACTTTACTAAGCTAATTGCTAATTTAAATTCCTTCATTTGCCCTAAAGAAATATTGTTGCAACCTAAATTCTACATTTGAGTGAATTCCAATTTAAGTAAATTCTAAATATGAAAAGTAAGATCAGTAAAACTTTGGGAGTTCTAGTTTTGAAGAAAGCAACATAACTTCAACTTGTTAACCCAGTGTTGGCAATACACATAATTCTTGATACTCAGATGAATATTAATTTCAATTATATATATAAATAAAGCTGAAACAGAGGGTGGTAGACAGAGGTCAGGTTTTCTTGTATTTTTTTCTTCAGATGCATGGTACATATTCACACAAACAAACCTATTTCCCAAAAGGGAGTTATAGAATACCATGAAGTCATTATTTTTAAGTTTATCATAAGAACTACTTACAGGAATCTTGGGCTGAATTCTCTCACATAATCAAAAGTTTTTCAGCAATATGGTTAAATATTTATAGTTTATTTTTATCAATGTATATTTGCTTATTTTCCTAAAATAAGATCTTTATCCTTGAGATAGTTTCCAAGACTTTTCAACATTGAGCTTTGCCTTTAAAATTTGTCCTAATTCTACTTAGTACCTGTAAAATCATGCAGCTGAGGTACAGTTTCCATAATAATACCAATCAGAGGTAGATACAACATGGCCACCCGAGCCTTTATCTGAGGGTCAGAGTACCGTGGGTCGGAGTCATGACTGGATAGTAAATTGTGTACCATATTGATGACTTTCTTATGCAATCCAAACAGTCTATTTAAAAAGAAGAGGAAGAAGAAAAAAGTAGTAAGGTCACCGAGATTGGTTAATATCTTTAAAACAAATAGTTAAGTCATGGTACTGAAAATACTTTGTTTAATTTAACTTTGCCATGTATTTGCATGTATTTCTATAAAATATTTATTTTAAAATAAATAATATATATAAAAATATAAAAAATAAGAATTAAAAAAGTAAATGGTATACAAATTCACTTGGGAATAAATCTGAATATTTTTATATTAACTCCTTATTAACTCCTTAGTATATTTGAACAATAAAGGACTTAAGACCACTTATAGCTACACTTGAAGCAATAAAAGGTAAATTTTAAGTAGCTGCAAATTTTATTTTATCAAATCAGATCTTTTCACATTTACCAAAAATAAATTATTTCCTTTTCTAAAAGAAGAATCCTCTCCCTAATGGATTATGTAGGCCACAGGCTGGAGTTGCCTTTGACATCTCTATTTAAACTGAACTTCCTTGCTCATATACCTCATTTGGACCTTAAAACTTTTCTAGACTCCTGACCCCTCTCAATTTCAATCTTGCTAATACACTAGGAAGGGTCACTCTCAACATTTTTTGTTCCTCTCCTTAGATTGAAGACACTTAGATTATGCAAACCATTCTAATTAAAAATTCATCCACTCTAACTGGCCCTTGACACTGCACCCAGCAGCAGTTTCAGATCTTATTCTCTCTCCTTACGCCTCTTAACTATCAATCTCAAGAGAAGACCTTACCTCCAACCTCTCTTAGGAAAGAAAGGCCATTCTGAATTTGCCCTGGCCATATCTTTTAACACATCTCCATCTTCATACCTTCCAAATCATCTGTCCTTTTTGTCTCAGAAAAAGCTGTATCTTCTCCCGGAAGGTAATTTCTCCATGTGTCTGATGAACCCTATCTTTCTTCACTAGCTTCAATGTCTCCCCTCATTAAGTTCTTCCCTTCTTTTTTCAAGTATGTCTTTCTTTTCTTAAAAATACATCTTCGCTTTAAAAGCTGGGATTAGAAAACAGGTAGTCTTACTCTAGAGCCCTTGATTTTATCCAACATTTTACATAGCTGTATATGAAATCTAGATGGAGCTTCTTTCTTCTCCTCTCCATATTTTTATTTCGAAAGTATACTTTCACAGAGGCTTTAAAATATATGAAGGCAAAGCGCTGAAAGAAAAGCATTCTTTAAGACTACAACATCCAGAAACAGTCTACCTGCACTTGATGTTTTGCCTGCAAGGTGGCATCATTGAGCCTTCCTTCCATCAGCTCACCCAGAAATACAGCTGAGACAAGAGGATCTGCCTGCATTCCCCTGCTGTCAGCTGCCACAAGAAGTGTGGCCACACCAACAACCTGTGCCCTACGAAGAAGATCAAATAAGGCCTCTTGGCTAGCTCCTCCTCCCCCTGCTGGGCAGCCTCCTGCCCAAGTCCCATGGTCCTGAGGCCTCAATAAAGTTTCCCTTTCATTGACTGGGAAAAAAAAGAAAGTACAGTTTTTAAGTTCTCCCCTTTGACTTCTTGTATCACTACTAATGATTTCCAAACCTGAATACAATTTATCGAGCATTGACTATATCCCTGACATACTGCTGAAAGCCCGATAAACCTTCTCTTTCATTTATTCAACAAATACACCAGACGACCCTTGTAAAAAACTATTTGAAGGGATCTCTTTGCTTTTGTTTTTTTTTTGTATGACAACTCTTTTATTACAACTTAAGGCAGCAAAGTTTAAATTTTAGGAGGAAAAGGAGCAACAAAAGGTGTTATAAAAATATTTTCTCTCAATTAACAAAATTCCACTCGCTGGAACTTTGCATTTCTTATCCAAGCTCTCATTACTATAGACATATTCCTAAAAAGGAGCTTATAAAGAAAATTTCCTTTTGTGGAATCTTACTATCTCAGTCTTCCATGAGGTCAAACTGCATTATAAACTTATAATAATCCAATTAGGAGAAAAAAATTTTTAAAAAGTAATTATTGCCCAAATGATTATGGTCATACAGATTTTTGAAAATAACTATTAAGATGAATGTAGCCCATAAGGGATGCTAGACCACAACACATCAAGCTATTTCTATAAATTCAAATCATTCAACAATATACCTTTCTTTTCTTACAATATCAATTTCCAAAAATCCTCTAAAAGTATACACAATTTTAAAAGTTTTTAAAACCTAAGGATATTTGTTTATAGGACAATTTTTAAAATAAGATGCTATATAATATAATTGCAAATGATAAATTTTCCACACAAGGAATCAAGTAAAAGACTAGAATATTTTTCTTAACTGAAAAGCACCAACTGTTTATCAATAAATCAAAGAGTCCATCTACTAAGATGCACAATTTATTTTAAATACTATTAAGACAAAAAAAGAATGCTGCCAAATAAACTGTGATATTCTACCAATGTTAAGATAAATCTCAAATTCAGAGATGGCAAAATATGAAAAAAGTCTTAAAATTGATGAAATATAGAAATAATATGGATATGGAACTTAGTGAACAGAAAAAGTAGAAAAAGTGAAAGCGTATTGTTTTGATTCTTAGTAAGTGTAAGTGGAATAATTCTGTCCCACTGTTCAAAATCAAATTGATACTCTACAAAGGAAAAACTGGTCTACTCACCCTTCAGCATCAGGGTCTAAAATGACGGCAAGCTCTGTTAGCACAAGTCCTGCCAAATAATGCTGTTGGCGGAAAGGCACAGACAATTCAAACATATTTGCAATCTTTTGGTCTTGTACATTTGTGGAAAACCCAGAACTCTGTTGGGGAGTGAGGTAGAACAAAGTTGTATCAGCTGTGCAACAAAACATCCTACAGAGCATTACAAGTGAAATGTGAGTATTATTTGAAAGCGAGATAAAATTTATCCATGGTAGTTTATTTTATATTACTATTATTAATATTGGAAAAAGTAATACTCATACTTTTGGTAAAGAAAATTTTAATGAAACTACTTTATTGATTTGATCACTTTATTACTGAAATAAATTAATATTAGGTCATTAAATATGAAATGTCTGGTTTTGAATCAAAAATTTCATTTATTATATCTCAAACAAGGAGTACAGTTAATCAAAGTATGTGCCTCAACTATGGACACAGTTTTGCCATCTTAATGGTAGCTTGTTTATGCCAACAGCGCAAAAACCTGGAGAGCAAGTGGCAATGAAATCACAAAAGGTGTTTTCCAGAGCTTGCTGAGAATTGAATATTTATCCTTGCAAGAAGTGGCCCAAAGCCTGGAAGTAGCGGTAGTTGGTGCAAGGTCTGGTGAACATGGTGAATGACAGAGAGTTTCCAAGTCCAGCCTGTGTAGTTTGAGCAGTATTGTTTGTGCAACGTGTGGTCAAGCATCGTCCTGCAAGAGGACTGGCCTGTCTCCATTGACCAATCTCAGCTGCTTAATCACAAGCATCCTGATCATTTCATCCAGTTGGTTGCAGTAGACATCCGCTGTAATTGACCAGGTTTCGTGAAGCTATAGTGGATGATACCAGTGCTGAACCACCAAACAGACAGCATCAGCTTTTCTTGACGAATATTTGGTTTTGGACTGTGTTTTGGCACTTCATCTTTATCCAACCATTGTGCTGAATGCTTTTGATTGTCAAAAAGAAGCTATTTTTCATCACACATAACAACATGGTATAGAAATGGTTCACTTTTATGTCGTGACAGCAAAGAAAGGCAAGCTTCAAGATTATTTCTCTTCGGAAACTCATTTAATTCATGCAGTACCCATCTATCCAGCTTCTTTACCTTGCCAATTTGTTTCAAATGGTCCAATATTGTTGGAATAGTAACGTCAAACCTTGCTGCTGATTCACAGGTAGGTTGAGCTGGATTCACTTCCACTACAGCTTTCAATTCATCATTATCCACCTTGGTCTCAGGTCACCCACATGGCTCATTTTCAAGATTAAAATCACGGGAATGGAACTTTTCAAACCATTGATATACTGTGCATTCATTAGACACCTCTTTCCCAAGCACTTTGTTGATATTTTGAACTGTCTGCGCTGTATTGGTTCCATGACAGAACTCGTATTTGAAAATAACACGAATTTTTGACTCTATGGTTTCACAAAAATTGCTCTTAAGGAAATGTGAAAGAAAATCACAAGACAAAATGTACATTTGAAAGACTAAGGATGTACTTTCACAATATACATAAAACAAGAAGTGTCAAAGTGAAATGTCAGAGATATCAACTGTCAAACTTAGTACTTAAGGAAATCGGACATTTCATACTTAATAACCTTCATAATAAATGGAAACTTTAATTAGTTTCAAATTCCTTTTTCTCAAATCAAAACCTGTCCATGTTTTCTCCTCATTCTTTTAGCCACTTAATGCTTCAATATCATCCTCTGAAGGAAGAAAAGGCAACTAAATCCAAATGATATAGTATGTACTCACCACAGATTATAAGAGAAATATTCATAGTCAAGGCTATTGTTATCCAAAGAAATTCTATACACCAGTAAAGCTGTTTTTCAGAGAACATACTACCCCTGGAAAAATACTACCATTCTGTAGTCTACTGAGTTTAAAAAGCTTTAATACTGCAAAATAGCATCCCCCAAAATATATTCCATATTAAGGAATACCCATGTGGGATTTCTTAGGACAACAACAGATTTCAGGTTTCTATTTTTTTCTTTGAGACGGAGTCTCGCTCTGTTGCCCAAGCTAGAGTGCCATGGCATCAACCTACCTCACAGCAACCTCAAACTCCTGGGCTCAAACGATCCTCCTGCCTCAGCCTCACGAGTGGCGAGGACTACAGGTGTGTGCCACCACACCCAGTTCGGATTTCAGATTTCTCTATGGAGAAATCATCTTCCTTATATAGTATATGATATTTTTCCTGGACCTCTCCCCAAAAGAGTGATGTCTCTATTCTGTATTAGAATCTGAAAATTATGTAATTAGATAAGAAAGTGGACAATAAGATAATGGAAGAAATTCTATGAGAATTTCTTGGCTGAATCGGATGTTCAGTAAGGAGTGAGATGTAAACAAATGTGCTTCATTGAAGGTTTTAGGAACTGTACCTATGATTAATTTGTCCCTAACTGTGTAGCCACATCTTTGGCAGAGAACAGGGAAAGAAAGAAAAAGATTAGCCTTATCCATTATAGGAAATATATGCTAGCCACTCTGTGGAAATAGGCTGATCCACATTTTTTACAAAGAAAAAATGAAAAGTTGTGGGTACTCTCTGATGTTTTCTAGTCTTTCTAAGTGTAGTTTAAATTTTTCTTCTATCAAGCATATGAGATTGATCTACCCTAGGGATTCTATTCAGGAATTACATATCTTGAAAACAAAATTAAGAGTTTAAGATCGATTTTGACTTTAGACATTAAGAGCTTAAGGAAGTAGCCTGATTGCCTTAGAAATAAGATAGCAGAAAAAGTGTTTCAGTGGAAGAAGAAAAAGCCAACCTTCTTTGATACTAAAACCACAAAATACCTTAATCTCAACCTATGTGAGAGGATATACTTATTAATTGCCAAAATAACACATTTTCAGCTTTAGAGAAACTACTAGGTGTTGAAGTCAAGTGCTACCCACTTAAAACCTACAAATGTTCATCTAGTTTCCTTTGGGGTTTCCAGATAAAAGAGAGTTAGGCAGGGCTTTGTAGTGTCTGAAATGTAGTTTGATTTCTTTCTCTGCTCACCTATGCTTCATCCCCCTTCCTTTCACAGGTATTGATCACCAAAAAACATCTTGCACCTGAGACTCATTCTTAGTGTCTGCTTCAAGAGAACCCAATTCGTGAAAACATCTAAATAATTGAGTTTATTTAGGTGAATTCATTCACCTGCACATAAATCTGTGAAAGGAGTACAACATAGTGGTTAAGTACTTGGGCTTCAGATTAAAGGTTTGGTTCAAAGCCTGGCTCTGCCACTTTTTACTCAGTAATGTGTGTTTCTGTTTTTTCATCTGTAAAATGGATATAATAACAGAACGTACCTCCTAGAGTTATTTTTGGGATTACATCAATTAATATTTATAAAGCACTTAGAACTGAGCCTATCATACAGCCGTTACTCAGTAAGTATTAGTTATAAATTTGTATTTTCGTACACTTTGCATACCTGGGATGTCGCAGAAGAAACAGAAGGTGATGGAGACGCAGGTGGAGTAAGTAAGCTACAGGGTAAGTTTAACGTAACATAGTGCTCATGGCTGCAGATGATTCGTAGAAAATCCAGCCTCAAGGACACCAGGACACTTGGATTTGGTAATGAATAAAGCTTTGAAGACACCTTGTAAGTATTGCATAAATAAGAGGACACCAGTTGAACATATTATTTCTCTAATACTAACACCAGAATTATAGATTAAAGAATTAAAGATTAGTACTCAAGAGCAATCTTGGGTTTTGTGGTTTAAATAAGTTTAATTTAGATTTTTCCAGAGTTAAGACTAAAATTAAAAATTTGTAAAATTTAAGGTTTACTGTATAAATTCATTTGACTAACCTAAAGCCATATTCTTATACTTCCAATAAAGTATTAATATTTCTACTTCTCAAAAATGCACTTTATGAGAAGGTATGCCACCATGATAACTTCATATTACTTCTTAAAAAGAAATTATCCATTCTTTTTATAGCGTTTTGTGATTACCTGTATTTATAGTTATCTATTTGTCTATTTTCCCAGTTACAACATAAGCGACTTGAGGAGACATACTATAAATTAACTTACTAGCTTTAGTATTCCTAGGGTTTACTCCAATGTTTAGCAAATTTAGAGGGTCAGTGCTTAAAGAATAAAAACAGTTTTGGTAAAAATTATATATAACGTTTTGGGGGGAAAGTAAAACTAATACATATAAGTGTTGCAAATATTTGCAAGTGTATCAGTGCCAATGCACAGTTTTAACTTTTCTGACTATTAAAAGAAACAAATATCCAATAAAACAGATCTTCAAAATTCTAAGTATTAGACAACAAATAGAATTCTTGACTATTAGCTCCCCAAAACTAATCTGTGGACCCCTGGGAAGTGTTTCACAGGCACTGCGTGCTCCTCACCCCTACCACCAGGATTCAAACTCCTCAATAACTCTGAGATGAGACCCAGAGATCTGTATAATTTTCAAGCTCCTTTAAAAGGAATAAAACAAAATCAGCTATTTGTAGACAAGTTCCTTTTTGTTAAGTAAAGGAAGATAATGAATGACATTTGGGACTTGGGTAAACATCTGTCCATAATTCTAAATTCTACAATGTTCAGGGTTGCATTAGGAGGAATACGCAGCAAAATTCAATTGCTTTAAAAATCACTCAAGATACAAAAGTTCAGTTAGCTGTTTATTCAGTATAAATGCTACACTTGCAGGTTATCTCGAGGCTGCTTTAAATTGACATTACTATTGACTTAATGGTGTGTTCCAGAACGGAAATTAAAGAGTCATGAGTGGGCCAGTGCAACTCAAGGAAAGCTGGCTGTACTGATATCAGCTTGCCATAGTACTTGTGTCCTGATAAAACAAATGTAATTTATTTTTGCGTTACTAATAAAAATGTTACTTTATTGCTACTTTTTGTTTTAACATTGGTATATTAATGTGCTCTTGAAGGTCTCTTAGCTTCAGCTCTGAAAAGAGCTAACACAGTATTTAAATTATTTGATTACTAATTATTACTAATTATGTATTACCTGTTTATAGCAGGACTTTATTAGGCTAAAAACAAATCCTCTATCCATAACAGACAACAGATCATTGAGAAAGAATGCAAGGCTTGTATTGAGTCTTTCAACCATTTCTGTGTCCTGGAAAACAGAATATAAAGCAAAAACAAATAAAAGTATGGAAGTTTAATCTTAGCTTGAAAGAGAGATAAGTGAAAAGAAAAAGTTATCATTACCTTCTGAAATCGTGAAACTATATCACTAGCAATTGTGCTGACAAGAGCAGCAATGTCATCCATGAAACGTTCTGGAAAACGACTTTTCCTTGGAGCATCAAGTTTATCATTAAAGTATAAATGGTGTACCATGCTCTTTACCTGAAAAAAGATGTAAGCCATTAGTTTCATTTCTTATGGATATAATTAACAATTGCAATGCAATGTATTGCAATAAATAGCAATTGCAATGACTCTAAACACTTGGGCTATTTTTAAAATGTGATTTAACAGATTACTAAAATACCTTTAGCTTCTCAAAATATTTCAAAAAAGTTTCCTACAATATTTTGTATGTGCCAAGGAAATATCGACCACAATACAACTCAATCACTACATCACAATCAGAAAACTATCCTGCCTATTGATAGGGAAAAAATTCTGTGTATGTCAAAAGAAAAAAATTTCACTCTTTAAAAAATTTTTAATTAAATTTTTCCAAGACTCAATAATTTTGCCATTCTGTATCCCCCAAACTGTAAGCTTTAAGAAGTCTTCACTATAGTGTCTTCAGCATCTAGTGTCATATAGTGGGTATATAATAAATATTCGATGACTAAAAATTAATGACAAAATATTAATTAAAAATTAACACAGTGATTTAAGTTTATAAAATGCTTTTAGATGTAGATTCTTTATGACAATAATGTGGTAATGGTAAAAAGAATTTTAGACTTTAAATTCAGGGAAATTGCAGCTAAGGTTCTATACTTAGTATACAGCTCAGTCAAGTCTTAAATTGCAGTTGTTTGACTATTTAAGAAGTCTGAACATATATATGACTTTAAAAAAATAAGTCAAAGTTACAGCTCTTATCTTACAATAAAAACACATGAATTACAAATTTAGTGTTTATTTTCTAAGGAAAAAATGAGTTGTCTGTCACTTATATATGGTCCCTGATTTATTTTTTCTGTAGACTATTAAATCTCTAGAAGAAATGTTTTCTATCCCCAATATAGGTAACATTCAATGCTGAGAATCACTCTATGCCATATTCTGGAAGCTCCTTTTGTTTCTTTCCTTTCTTCCTTTCTCTTTTGTTGTTGCTGTTCTTCTGTTTTCCATTGTTTCTTATTTATTTTTTTACATACTCCTTTTTGGAAGAAAAAGTTTTAGTGATTTCAGCTTTCTACAGGCCAAAGAAGAAGGTGAAGAGGAAGGTCCCAAGTGCTAGAATGCCTAGGTTTGAATCACAGTTCTGCTACTTATAAGCTGTTTAGACTAAGACAAGTTACACAACCTCTTTGTGCCCTGTTAATACCTAGCCCACAGGGCAGTGCTAGCATATTGTACCCACTTGATAAATGTTTGTTGCCTTTGTTTACGTACATGTGTGTATATATGTATACACACACCTATATACATGTTTATATATACAGTTAACCCCTTGAACAGCACAGGTTTGAATTGCATGGGTCCTCTTATACATGAGTTTGCTTCTACCTCTGCCACCTCTGAGATAGCAAGACCAATCCCTCCCTCTTTTTGCTCCTCCTCAGCCTATTCAATGTGAAGACAATGAGGATAAAAACTTATGATGATCCACTTCTACTTAATGAACAGTAAATATTTTTCTCTTCCTTATGATTTTCTTAATAACATATTCTTTTCTCTAGCTTATTATATTGTAAGAATATAGTCTATAATACATATTACATATAAAATGTCTGTTAACTGTTTATATTGACAGAAAGGCTTCTGGTCAAGAGTAGGCTATAAGTAGTTAAGTTTTTGGGGGGTCAAAAGTAATATGTCAATTTTCAACCACACAAGGAGTCAGTGCCTCTAACCCCTGCATTGTTTAAGGGTCAAATGTATATATGTATTTATTAATTAAAATATTAATTCATTTTTAATATCATTTATTGAATTAAGCAAAAACTACTGTTGGTTTTTTATTGGCTGTAACTGGCATTTCCCTAAGAGCTTTCTAGCCATAATTATAGCAGTTGGTATCTATAAAGCTCTTTTTATCTTTGGTATAAAATCTACAGTACTGCCATTGTACATTTGCATTCTCAGACTAGGAAAGAATGTATCACCAATTTCCTTTAAAAAGAGAGCTAGCTTCTGCAACCATCCCTGAAAAAAAGAGTTAAATTGAGCCTCACACTTTATAATTCCACCTAAATTGGGCTGAGTATCCACAGTGTTTATTTACAGCTGAAATATGTGTAATTTTGTCTTAGAGGCATATGTAAAACTGTAAGATGTACAACAGAAAAAGATTTCTAAGATAAAAATTGAGAAAACACAAAATAGTTCACTAAGGGAAAAAATTTTTAAAGAATGTGCTTAGTTTACTCACCATTAACTCAAAAAAGAACCAGGCTTGTTGCAAAGCTGATTCCCGAACGCTGCCACTGCAGACAACCCACTGCAAAGCCAGCTCCTCATGAAAAAGCTATCCAGAAGTAAATCCAAAGTTATTATCAAAGTCAAATATGCTGATAACATAAACCAAATAATAATGCAAATACAATGAAGGTATAATGAGAGTAAGCAAAATAAGGCATGTGAACCATTCGATGATGCAGTGAAGACACCCATTAACGAAACGGCTATTTATGCATGTAAGACAGTGGTATGCTGAACAGCTGAAAAAATTACATGTTATCTTAGAGTAAAATGTAATTTTAAAAGGACAGGTAAAAAATAGCCTCCTAAATTGTACCTGCAAACAAAAACTAGATCAAAAACTTACAATAAGATCTTGCTTGTGCCTTAAATATATATTTTAACATATGCAAATGTGCTCATGAACTTTGCTGGTACAATTTAGAAAATACATTTAAAAATTTAAACTTTGCTATAAGCCATTGATTTTCAAGTTTTCAGGTAAAGTCTTTTTTAAAAAAATCACAGAAAATTCCTGCCTTATAATGGATATGCATACAAAGCATTTGCAAAGTAGTGTATATTAATATGAAAAAGGACTAACAAAACTGTGCATAAGGGAAGCAAATCAACATATCTTACTAAGAATTTTTCTAACTCATCTTCCTTTCCCTGGAGATTTAAAACACAAAACAGAAGCAGTTACCAAAACAGAATTAAGAGTTGATACATTTTTTTGGTACTAAAATTTGATGATCAAATTTGAATTCACTAAACTCTAAAAACAGTTAATCCCAAAGAAATAAACACTATCAGAATGTAAAAGAGCCTACACTGGAAAGGCATCAGAAAAGCAATGCTTGCTCAGTTTTTTTTTTTTTTTTTTTTTTGGAGACAGAGAGTCTTGCTCTGTTGTCTGGGCTACAGTGCAGGGGCACCATCATAGCTCACTGTGACCTCAAACTCCCGGGCTCAGGCGATCCTCCTACCTCAGCTTCCTGAGTACCTGGGACTACTGAAGCGTGCCACCATGCCCAGCTGATTTTTCTATTTTTGGTAGAGACGGGGACTCGCTCTTGCTCAGGCTAGTCTCGAACTCCCGACCTCAAGTAATCCTCCCACCTTGGCCTCCCAGAGTGCTAGGATTATAGGTGTAAGCCACCACACCGGCCTCAGGTGTATTTTTAAACACAATGTAATTATTATACTATCTCATACTGGTTATGTAAAGAAATCTTGTATCTATTTTATTGTTGAAACTATTTTCCCCTTCTTTGCATTGTCTTCATATGAATCTACCTTTTTAGTTGGTAAGCGTCCCGTTAATGTTTGTAAGAAACTTGACGTCTCTGTGTGCGAAGACATACGATTACAACTTCGATCCATAGCCTATGGAGTGAAGATGAATGGATGACGAGATAACATTAACATCTGCAGTGGATGACTTTGCAGCTCAAGGACTACGTACGATTTTAAAATAGAGTTTTATTGTGGTTTCAAAAACCATCTATTTTACCGTTCATCTCATTTTCACCATTTTAAGCTGCTTTAATGACAATGCATTAGAAGTATCAAAATGACTTCTATATGATTTTAGTCTTTAAAAAGATGAGTATTTCAATGATTTTATAATATTCAGAGTGCTGCAAAGAATGAAACTTTTATCTGTGTGATCTATACACATGCACATATCTAGTAAGAATATATAAAAAGTAAAAACATACTTCTCAACTGGTCTCATACCAAAAAAGAAATCAAGAATTTTGTACTCAATAAAGAAAATAAAAAGTTTAGAATGATTTTTTTGACTTTTTCACTATTATCAAAAACCACTTTTCAGGTTTGTCATATACTACATCAAATATAAATAATTTATAATATTAGATACAGAATTAAAATTTTTCTTTTTCTTCAAGAATAGAATTTTCATCCAAAGCCAACACACAGATGAGAAGTATATTTTGAGGTATCATGCAGTAGTAACTATCAAGCAACTAGTCTTAAGTAAGCAAAATCTAATTTCATACTTTGCAACACAGTACAAATTAAATGGGACTTTTGCTTCTGGAATTTAATCTTATAGCATGGGGTCATACACTGTTCACACTTAATTTCAACTTATTACCAGTCTTTCTATTCAGTGATTATGACGAAAATGACAAGATAATAAATGCTAAATAAAAATGGTACAATAGCTATACTTTAAACCAAAAGCAAATGGAAAACTGTTGGGTTTTTTTCCACATAAAAATTTAAAAAATTCCTATTAAAGATGTGCTACCCCTAAAGAAGAAACTGTTAAAAAGCCATTAAGTGCATAAGCAGCAGGCACTGAAATACTAATAAGGTGTATAAGGAGGGAAGGAGGAGGTGATAGGAAATAGGAAAGAAGAGCATTACTGGTACATTTGGTGGTATTCATGCATAGTAGTTGGAAAATGTGCTAAGTAAACAAAAATACACACTTGGAAGCAAGCCACTGAAATCATAGTATATACTAAAAAGTAATGGTCTAAAGGGAAACATCAGCAGCCAATAAAGAAACCTCTAACGTAAACACCACCTGTGTTGATTCTGCACTTGGACTGGGGTTGGATCCCCATGGGGCAGCTTTTGGACCACCAGTGTTAACCCAGGAATTGGAGCGATCTAAACCCTAAGCATATAATAGAAAGCAGTTGGAAAGGAAAGAAATATTACATGTTGCATGCTATAAATTATTCTTAAAGAAATCCAGACCTTCCAATGCAAACATGTTTTTAATTAGTACTGTTAAAGCAACCAACATTTTTAGGCACTTATAGAGTATTAGTTCACCGAAATTATCTTATTAAATAACATATTTTTTTTAAAAAATCACAAATAACATTAAGTATAGCATTTAAAGGTAATTTCTCTTTATGTAAAAATCCCTTTATGTAAAATACCCCTTGAAGTACCAACAACTAAATTTCCCACAGCGCCACACACCCCAAACTCTCTTTAAAGATAGTACAAATTAGCAACAGATAATTTCCTCTGTATCTAACTGAGGTTTAAAGGAAAAAATGGAAGAAAAACATTCAATTCTTTGCCGAAAGACTTTAATTTCATTCCATCTCTCATCAACTGAAAACTACTACGCAGTGGTATTTTATAATTCTATTTGACCTAGCCTCCTCTTTTACTCTCTTTTAGAGACAGATAGGAGAAATTAAGTAAAAATTTAAGAAACAAATAATACCTAATATTTGCTCCTTCCTAATAAAAGATAGTAGATGTGGGCCTGTGTTCAGTTTTATTGTACTTGTAATTAAACATAATGGGCTACTATTTTATATAAATATTATAAGGAAAAACATTATGCTGGGGCTGTCTATAGGAATTATATCTTCACCATCACCTTCATCAGTTTAAAGTTTCTTTAATATGCTACTAATATATATGAATATATTAGTGAATTATGTCTGTACTTCTCTGAAAAGGGTTACTATGGTTCTAGGTGAAGGGAACAGAGGCTTTACTTCTACTTCCTAAACCTGACTGAACATCAGAATTACTTGAGAAGCTTTATAAAAATTTAGACTCTGGGCCCTATTGCCAGAAATCCTGATTCAGCAATCTGGGATGGGAACCTGGGAATCTGCTAATCAGAATTGGAGCAAGTTGTAAAAGATTTTTAGAGGATTATTGGGTTAAGAATAACAAAGAAAACACAAGACAAGCTGACTAAGTATATCAGAGCATGAGTATGGACCCAAACCAGAAAGCGCTAAAGGAAGGACAGGTAAAAAAAAAAAGTGTTTGGTAACAACAGTAATCAACTCTGTCTGGACATTAGTGCCACCTGGTAAACTTAACAACAACAGCAACACAATAAATGTGCAGGGCCCTAACCTTAAAACAATTAAATCAGAATTGCTGGGAGTAAGGCCTAGACATCAGTATTTTTTAAATACTTAAAATGTTTAGAAAAAGAAGAAAAATAAAAACTGTAACTCTCAAGGGCTTAGGTTTTAGGGAGACTAATTCCTATGTTTTTTCCCATTTTTTCCCCCCCGAATGCAGAGAAGTTGAAATTATGGTACAATAATCACCCATTTCTCCTCATTTTTGACACTGAATGTGTAAAATGGTAGTTAAAGTTTAAATCTAGGCTCTCCTGCTTACTAATTGTAAAATGTAAGATAAATTTCTTTGTCACTTTTTCAGTTTCTTTTTTTTTTTTTCTTTTATTTCAGCATATTATGGGGGTACAGATGTTTAGGTTACGTATGTTGCCCTTGGTCCCCCCCCAAGTCCGAGTTTCAAATATGTCCATCCTTCGGGTGGTGCGCATTGCACTCCTTGTGTATACAAATACCCGTCCCCTCCTCCCTCCTCCCCCCTCCCACTCCCCCCTGCCTAACATCCAATAGATGTTATTCTTATATGTGCATTTATGTGTTGATTAGTTAATACCAATTTGATGGTGAGTACAAATGGATCCCGTTCTTCTGCTCTTGTGGTGCCCCACTTTGGATAATGGGCTTAAGTTTAATCCAGGAAAGTATAAGAGGTGCTAGATCACTGTCGTTTCTTATGATTGAGTAATATTCCATTGTAAACATATACCAACTTTTGATAATCCACTCATGGATTGACGGGCACTTGGGTTGTTTCCACATTCTTGCAATAGAGAATTGTGCTGCCATAAACATTCGGGTGCAGATGTCTTTATCGTAGAATGTTTTGTGCTCTTTTGGGTAGATGCCTAATAGTGCTATTGCTGGATCGAATGGTATTTCTATTTTTAGCTCTCTGAGGTATCTCCAAATTTTTTTCCACAGAGGTTGCACTAATTTGCAGTCCCACCAGCAGTGTAAAAGTGTTCCTGTCTCTCCACATCCCCGCCAACATTTGTTGTTTTGTGTTTTTTTGATAGAGGCCAATCTCACTGGGGTTAGGTGATACCTCATTGTGGTTTTGATTTGCATTTCTCTAATGATTAGAGATGTTGAGCATTTTTTTATATGTTTGCTGGCCATTATTCTGTCTTCTTTTGAAAAGTTTCTGTTCATTTCACTTGCCCATTTGTTGATGGGGTTGTTTGATTTTTTCTTGTTCATTTTTTTGAGTTCTAGATAGATTCTGGTTATCAGCCCTTTATCAGATGTGTAGAGAGCAAATATTTTTTCCCATTCTGTGGGCTGTCTATTCACTCTAATGATAGTTTCCTTGGCAGTGCAGAAGCTTTTTAATTTGATTAGATCCCACTTATTTATTTTTGTTGCTGTGGCGATTGCTTTGGGGTTCTTCTTCAAGAATTCCTTACCTAGGCCGATGTCTTCTTCTGCATGTAGCTATCCAGTTTTCCCAGCACCATTTATTGAAAAGAGATTCTTTTCCCCAGTGTATGTTTCTGTCAGCTTTGTCAAAGATTAGATTACCATATGCAGATGGTTCGGACTTTTTCAGTTTCTTATCTATTAAATAGGAATAATGATAATGTCTCCCTCATGTTGTAAGGACCAAATTAAATAATGGAAGTAAATTACTAAGTGCAATGTCTCAAATATATTAATAGTAAACTCTCAAAAATAGTTTTTTGTTTGTTTGTTTTTAGAGACAGGGTCTTATTCTGTTGCCCAGGCTGCAGTGGCCTGATGATAGCTCACTGCAACCCTCAACTCCTGGGTTCAAGTGATCCTCTTACCTCAGCCTCCTGGGTAGCTAGGACTATAGATGCACACCATTACACCTGGCTAATTTGCCTTCCTTGCTTCCTTCCTTCCTGGGTTCAAGTGATCCTCTTACCTCAGCCTCCCAGGTAGCTAGGACTATAGGTGCACACCACCACACCTGGCTAATTTGCCTTCCTTCCTTCCTGGGTTCAAGTGATCCTCTTACCTCAGCCTCCCAGGTAGCTAGGACTATAGGTGCACACTACCACACCTGGCTAATTTTTTTTCCTTTTTCCTCCTTCCTTCCTTTCTTCCTTCTTCGTTCCCTCTCTTCCTCCCTTTTTTCTTTCCTTCCCTCCCTCCTACTATGTTACCCAGGCCAGTCACGGCTAGTCACAAACTCCTGGCCTCAAGCGATCCTCTTGCCTTGGTCTCCCAAAGTGCTGGGATTAGAGGCATCAGCCACTGTACCTGGCCCTCAAAAATAGTTTTTATAAAAACTTTCCATACATATTTTTCCTAAAACGCTTTCTAGCAAAGCAATTATACAATATCCAAATACTAGTTAAAATTATATAGCCAGTAGCTTTGCTTAAAATAGAACACCTGCCTTCTCAGAACCCCATTACAATATTTCAAACAAAAGCATATCAACAGGCATTTGTTTTTCAGATCAGTTAAAACAAAATTTTCATTAGTCTCCAAAATTATGTCTCCACTGCACAATTGTAAAGTTCTTTCTGCCATATTCAATTTTTGCAGTCACTATTCATGTTACAAAAATAACAAAACATAAGCATTTGATTTTTTCAAAATTATTACTGTGCTCTTCTCTTCCATAAATTTCCACAAAAAGAATAACTTTGCTATACTCTTAAATTCACTTTTTAACTCATTGTTTAATAATTTCCTTTAAAAAAAGGTACATAATCAGTGAGAATAAGAAATCAATCTCATTGTACTATTACATTTCGTATATATAATACTGATGCTCTGAACAGTTCCAATAACATCAGTCAAAGCTGTTTAAAGAAAACCTGTGGCCAATTATTTTGTAAAGCAAATAACTTCTACAATTCTATAATTCAGGTGTTATAAAGCTAAAAAATATATCAAACAGCTCTTAGTTAAGCAAATTCATCACCGATGTTTACTAACATAATAATTTTATGTTTTTTACTGATCTCCAACTAACATACAACAGATTAACCAAATGTGGGCACATGTGTATGTATATATGTGTGTGCGTGTGGTTTTTTTTGCCAAATCCCCAGTAACATTATTAATTTTGTCCCTTAGATACAGATAAGCTGCTTTGCAAGGACCATACTGTATTTGATTTGACATCAACACTCATATTGTTACATACGAAGATGTGGTTTTTTTTTTTTTTTTTTTTTTTGAGACAGAGTCTTGCTCTGTTGCCCGGGCTAGAGTGACGTGGCATCAGCCTAGCTCACAGCAACCTCAAACTCCTGGGCTTAAGCAATCCTCCTGCCTCAGCCTCCCAAGTAGCTGGGACTACAGGCATGCGTCACCATGCCCGGCTAATTTTTTCTATATATTTTTAGTTGTCCAGATAATTTCTTTCTATTTTTAGTAGAGACGGGGTCTCGCTCTTGCTCAGGCTGGTCTTGAACTCCTGACGTCAAGCGATCCTCCCACCTAGGCCTCCCAGAGTGCTGGGATTACAGGCGTGAGCCACCCCGCCCGGCCTAAAGATCTGGTTTTATATCTACAAGTCCTCAGCATAGTGCCTAGCACAGAGTAAGTGCTGTGTTCGAGAAATAAATGAAAAACATAGGAGGTGATAGATGAGAAAGAAATATATCAGTGTAAAATTCCACCAGCATTTGATTAAAAGCAATAAAATTCAAACCCTATGTAACCATACATTTATATCATAGAATGTTAAAAGACTACTCCTAGGACTAAAAAGGCATAGGTAGTTCTGGCAAAATAAATATGAAGAAAGTCTCACAAATATGTTTTTATAGTCTCTAGAGTAATAAAAGCCTGTGAATATTACATAAATATTCTTGAATTTTAGGAGTTCTGTATTTTATATTAGGGAATGAAGTATAACCAAAACTTTAATAAAGTCAAATCTCTGAAGATCTTTAAATATATAATTAATCCTGATAGAGAGTGAACAAAAGCATAATTCAAGTTTTAAAAAAGTGGTTTATTCTTTCTATGGTTACTCATACTAACATTCATTCATTGAATAAGTATCTGTTGAGCACCTTTAATATGCTGGACATCATAGGTGCTTTGGAACAAACATCCCTGCCATCATGAAACTTATATTCTGGTGAAGGGATATACACACTAAAAAATCAACATAATAAATAACTCACTCACATGCTACTTTAAAAGGCTGTAAATGTTATGAGACAAAAAACAAAACAAAAACAAACAAACAAACAAACAAAAAAACCAAAAAAAAAACCCCATAGAATAAGGGGATTAGAAGTCCCAGGGCCAAGGCAGAGGAGAAAGAGCCACTGGTTATACATTTAAATAAAATGGTCAGAGCAGACCTCATGGGGAAAGTGGACCTGTGAGTAAAGACTTAAAGGAGCTGAGGTTGTTAAGTCATAGGAGGATCTTGCTCAGGAATATGACATAATCTCACTTAATTTTTTTGTGTGTCTCTTAAATTTTTAAAGCAACATTCTGGTTGCTATGCTCTGAACAGAGTGTAGGGCAGAAGTAGGGAAACCATCTTTAAGTCTGTAAGTTTAGGGAGAGGTGATGGCAGCTCAGACCAAGATGGTAGTACAGAGGTGGAAAGAATTGGCTCTACCTTTAACGTATATCCAAATCTGAACAAAAGGAATTAGAAAAAGCAGCTAAGTTTAGAATTCTAAAGAGAGATCTGTACTGGAAATGTAACTTTGGGAGTCATTAGCATAACATTTATGTGGTACTTAAAGCCATAGGACTTGATAAGATCACCAAGTCAATGAGTATAGAGAGAAGACGAGGTAAATAAGGGCAGAGGACTGGACCATTTCCAGATTAAGAGATGAGAAAAGGAAGAATCCACAAAGAAGACTGAAAATGTATAACTACTAAACTTTAAAGAGGAAAACCAACAGAGTGTAGTACCCTAGAAGCCAAATAAACAGAATAAACCAAGAAGAAAAAAGAATCTAACTGCATCCAAAGCTTCTGATAAGTAAGCAGAGTTCTGAAAATTATTAATAGCCACTGGATTTAGCAAAAAGGAGGGCAGTGGTGATATTAACAAGGGCAGTTTTGGTGGAATATAGGAGGAATATTTTATTGAAGTAAAGAGAAAGGGAGAAAAAGAAATGGTATATAAATATAGAAAACTACTTTAAGGAATTCTAGTAAAAAGATAGCAAAGAAATAGCAAAGAAGAGAGCAGCGAGAATGGAAATACTAGAAAGGACTTTTTTTATATGAGAGAATAATAGCATGCCTGTACGTGAATGGGAATAATTCAGTACATAAGGAAAAACTGATGATACAAGAGAGGTATGAAAGAACTGCTAGAGTGAGGATTTCGAGTAGTTGAGAGGGGATGGGAGTTTGTATACAGTAAAATGAATGGATTTAGAAAAATGAATTGTTCATCTACAGCAGAGTATTAAATAGTAGAGAATAGATGGTAGCAGGTAGGTAGAAACGATGGTGAAAGTTTTCTTTTGATGGCTTAGTTTTCTCAGTGAAAAAGGAGATAAAGGGAAAAGGAGAACAGAGGGAGAGGTGTTTGAAGGTGTGAGGTAACAAAAGACATCATGACATCATTTCCTTAGAGAACAGGAAAGTGAACAGAATACAGAAATATAGTATAATTGCCCGACAGCATTAAGGCTCTGTTGAGGTTCATTTCAAATGAGACCAGTCACCATGGTACTGTGCAAGCCATGTTCTTCCGCTGCACAGGTGATAACATGGCATAGGCAGTCAATTGGGTTTAACTATGCTTTCAGGTTTGGGAAGGATAAGGGGAACTGAGATACCATTATGATGGGAATAATTATAATGACTGATCACAAAGGCTAGCTAAGGAGGAAGAGAGAGCATTAAGGAGATGAGGCACAATAAAAAGGTCACAGGATCAAGAGATTAGAAGTTGCAGAGTAGAAAAATTGTTGGAGTTGGGGTACTATAGAGAAAAATAGGAGATAATAGAGAACAAGTTGCATGGTTAAAGTTAAAGTTACCAGTAATGAAAAGATCTAAGGTATGTCCATGGCTGAGGCACAGTGGAAGATAAAATCACTAAAGGAGGAGAGTTTCTTGAATTGCCAAGCCAATAAAATAGGAATAAATGAAGAGTAGCTGTAAATAAACTTCAGATTCTTTACAAATGTGAGATAAAATTATATGTCATTATTAGAGATTATGACTAAATGATAATCCAATATGAAAGTAGTTATCAAAATTTTGCAATAAAAAGAAAACAACACAAAAACTATTTAAATAAAAGTTAATAATGACAAGGCTGAATTGTTATAAGACAAATTCTCGTCTTGTGATAATTTTCTCAGAAATTAGTTTATATATATATATAAATCATTATGCCCCATATAATGAACTTCTTGAAAAAAGGCAAAAAAATCATTCTTATATATAGAGCTCTTTGTTCTAAATCTTGAGGTTATATTCTACCAAATATACTATATAAGAAATATGAGTGCTTAATATGAATGATCATTAATGTTAATTAATTAGAAGTTTTTTAAAGTAAAATTTCTATAACTATGAATTATATATATTTCTGTAACTATATGAACTATAAGAATAGTTTTGACATTTCTGATCAATGTTCAAGTATTTCACCTAACGAACTCAGATCTTTAAAAGTTCTATTATAGTTCAGACTAAGAGTTATATAAAGACCCTAGAACATGTTTATTAATTCTTCCTCATATCCTAATTGATAGACTAAAATCCCAAAGAAAAGCTGGCTATAGTTTTATAAGAATGATATCTCCCTCCTCTCCAACAGCAAAAATAAGTTTGAAATAGTTTGGCCAAAATACAACATAAAGTGATTTCTCAGCCTCAGTATTACTGTGCTTTCATCCAGCTTGCTTGAACTCTGAGTTATTTTTGTATTTTACATATAGAAAGGTAATAACTACTCATGCTTTAAGTATTTTTGGGGGGTAATAAAGATGGATGTTTTGAATAAAATATAACTAGATCTCATACTAGCTGGTCTCTCCTTTGTTGTCTGGGATAATCACTAACCATCATTAAGTAAGTCATTCTTTTCTAATCCTGGTGTACCTTACATAGAGTTTCATGTAAAATACAGATCTATTATTGACTAAGGTTAATAACTGTTCTTGCTATTTTTGGAGAAAGGAGGGCTCATGCTTTAAATCAATGATGACATGTCTCCTCTACACAGCAATTGCATAGGTCTCCTTTAATTCTATAGGGGTCAATTTAGCCATTTTTCGCATGATGGAGTATCAGACAGAAAACAGTAAGTTATATGTAATTAGTCATCCCATATAAATTTTAGAATTTGGCTTTTTTTTTTTAGCAGAGTGTACAAACCAGTTTGCAATAGCAAGCATATTTGATAGAAGCATGAAACAGTGCTTACTGATAGAACAGAAATGGACAATTTCTTTCTTATTCCTAACTCACACACATCTCAAAATTCAGAATAAGTAAAAGCAATTGGACATTTCTCATTTGTTCATAAAATGAAAACCAAATTTACAAACACATGTCTTCAGTTTACCTTATTGCCTATGATTGACCGAACTTCATCATCTGGTGACGTGGGAGTCCCAGATATATCTGGATTACTATTACTAAGGCTCCGAGAACGACTTAAATTAAGGCTTGCAGGTCTCACAGCAGATCTAGCCATTGTGGCATAATGCACTGATCCTCCCAAACCCCCAGGACCTAGAGATGCATTTAAAATAGCACATAATTAAACAAAGAAAATAAGTCAGTCAAGGACCTGAAAAAAATTTGTCACTTTACAAAATTCCCAAAGATGATGAATTACTTTTGTTTCTAAATGAAAAATGCATTTAAAAGAAAAGAAAAACACTCAAGAACTAATGATAGCTACACAAAGATGTTCTATTTTATGGCAGTTTATAAAACCATATGAATTATAAATAAAATCACTGTCTCTTCAATACTTCTATGATTACATATTACAAATACAATAAAAAACAAAATTAAGAGTAAACACACACACACATACACACACACACACAACCTTCACTTAGATATAGTTGTATCTAGGACCCAAAATGTTCCAGCCGATGTCTCTTCCTTTTTTCCCACTTCTTCTACTCTGCCCCCGATACAGTCGTCAGAGGAAGAGCCAATTTATTGCTAACTTTTCTTAAGTGAGACAATCCTTTATTTCTCTATCTTCATCAGTGACAACGTGAACAACAAAACAACATCTTCATGATATACATACAAAACACTAAAGATAATTCTAAGAGCACCGCTATGTAAAAAAAGCAAAGAATCCCTCTTTGTCTAACTAAAACCAAGCATAATATCATCTTTCAACCATGTTCCATGAACACAAAAATATTCAGCAATTATATTCCTAACCTCTCTCCATTTTTTTATTTATAGAAATCTTTCTGAATGTCATATTTGCAAATGATACATACCCATTAACTAATTAATTTATATAATCTTACATGCTGTGTAAATTAACTAACTTAATTTACACAGCATGTAAAAAAGATGTCTTGCAAAATTTGTGGAATTCTAACAGTGTACTGAATGAAAGGGTAAATGGAGGAGCACTGTAGATATTTCACAATCACTCAAACACTCAGATCTTCAGGTAGTATAATATTAAAAATAAAGATAGGAATTACGAACCAGAATATTTGCGATTAAGTAAAGAAATAAAGTGGCCTAAAACTTAAAGTCAGATTAATATTATTCCTAGTTTTCATAATGAATATCATAATTATTTGTTCCCATTATCAAAGTTAACATTGCAATAGCCGGAAAAGGGCACTTACCATTATCACTAGTGTAATATAGACAAATATCTGAGCAGGTTGAAAAGTATGCACAAAACAATCATTAGGTAACTGAACAACTCAAGGGTTATTCAAACTAAGACATTCCCCCCACATATTGGAGATTGAACCACTAATCTCATACAAAAGATAAATAACTACTTGGGGTTCTAATACTCAGAAAAGGCTATATTATTTTATTGACCATGAAGAGATCAGAACTTTTCTAGAGCAGCAGTCCCCAGCCCTTTTAGCGCCAGGGACCAGTTTCAGGGAAGACAATTTTTCCACTGGGGGTGGCAGGGGATGATTTCAGGATGATTCAAGGGTATTACATTTATTCTGTAGTCAAATCTCTGTGCTAATGGTAATACGTATTTGTAGCTGCTTCCCAGCACTTGCATCACAGCTCCACCTCAGATCAGCAGGCATTAGAGTCTCAGAAAGAGTGTGTAACCTAGATCCCTTGCATGTGCAGTTTACAATAGGGTTCCTGCTCCTATCAGAATCTAATGTTGCTGCTGATCTGACAGGAGGCATAGCTTACACAGTGATGCTGTAAATACAGATGATGCTTTGCTGGCTCACCCACTGTTCACCTCCGCTGTACGGCCTAACAGGCCATGGATCAGTACCAGTCTACAGCCTGGTGGTTGGGGACCACAGTTCCAGAGCACATTCTTTTTTATGATTGTAGATTTCATAGGGTTTTCAGGGAACTACTGAGCCACCACATTTCTTCTTCAATGCCCAGCAGCATTCTGAATGACAAATATAAGTTTCTATTTATCTTAACAAGGAATGATAAAATGCTTCCAGGGACACAAGAAGTTATTTTCCATTTCCAAGAATGAATTCAACCAAGACCTCTAATTCAAATGAAAAGGAAGCTATATAAATAAAGATCCTTAAATATGTAACTTATTTATCCCTTTAACTCTAGCATCTAGCACAGTGAATGGTACTTAGCTGGCATTCAGTAAATGTTTGCTATTGAATGAATGCATCACACTATGGATACAAAATTATCTCAATAGTGCCATGAACATACAATTAATGAAGGACAGTTTCATAGTAAAAAGAATAAAATACCTGGTGATGGTGAATTAGGGTAAGTATTTGGTAGGCGAAAAACATAATAGATATATGATGCAAGAAGGCTGTTTCTCCCATGCTGATCATGATTTCCTTCCAAGTTTTTGTGAAGTCGATTTATAATAGATGCCATGGCTTCAAAAGATGCTTGACCTAGATTAACTTTAAGAAGGAAAATACTTTTGTTTGAACTTTTTAAGACTGTTTCCACAAAAATCAAAAGCATGTCATCTCCACATGCTTTAACTACAGTGATTATACATAGTAATTGTATAAAGATGGTTATTTGATGTTGATTTTAACAACATTTACAATCTTGTAATCCATACTCTATTCTCCATCCAACTGCCACCTGTCTTTTATCAGGACCTCCTCATTTTTTGCAAGACTCCCAATTTGTCTCCCTGCCTCCAGACTTTCCCACTTTCATGCTAGCTCCATATAGCATCTTGTAAAGCCATCTTTTAAAAGCCAAACTTGATCATGTTACTTCTCTCATTAAGATGAGACCCTTCAAAGGCTATTAATTCCCTACAGAAAAATAGTCTCAATTTCTTATGGTGTTCATGGAAGACCTCATTTCCTCTTTTACTCCCTATATCACCTCTAATCAATCCCCCAATTTATAGCTAATTACTTATAATTCCTCCTCCAAATTTCTAAGTTCATTTATCTGTCTATGTACTATGCACATGCTGTTTCATCTCCCTGGAATAATATTTACCTGTCAGAATCCTATTCATCTTTAAATGCTTAACCCAAGAATTACCTCTAAGTCTCCCCTAAAAAAAAATCTAAACGAATTGAATACTTCTGTCCTTTGTGCCACCACTCCACACAAAAATTCTTAACAGGCTAGCTGAAATTTCTTTCAAGCTCAACTTCTTTTCAGGATTTGGGTAAAAGCTGTTGGCAAAAGTAAAGGAGTAAACCTTTAACACATTAACTGCCATGTGACTTGTATTAAACTCATGCTAGTTTTGAGCCCAGGGCCTCATGAAGCATATGTTACTCACATATCTCTGCACTTTGGGAGCCATGAGAACTATTTTTTAAGTTGCATATAACTCAGGCACAGAAAACAATAAAAAATAACAAATTTTTCATTAATTTAGAAAGGATCGTTTTGTTTTCCAAGTTTTTATTCGAAAATCGTGGCCCCAAGGAAAACATTTTTTTTCTAGTGTGGCAGTCAATGTGTTATAAAAAGGGGTAGAAATGAGGAGTACCTCTCCTTCCAGAACAACACAGAAGAAAAAGAGAATACAATGATTTTGAGCAAATGAAGGAAAAAAGAGGTATATTAAATGGAAGATAGCAGATGAATGAAAATGTAGACTAGGTAGATTATAAATCCTGTAAAACGTAACATAATTTATTTATTTGCCTGTTTGCTTAACTAGTCTATGAGATCTTACAGTCAGAAACCATGCCCTGGACAGCACCTATTAGTGTCTGGTACATAATAAGTACTTAATAAATATTTGGTAAATGAATAAATTTATTTGTTTCCATATTTAATATAAAAATAAACAAAAAATGTTATCATTTTCTATTAGAAACAAGTAAATAATAGCCCCCCACCTCTGCCCCATAAACTTAAACATAGTTCTTATAGAGAGCAAATGGAAATGATGGTTCATTTTTTTTACAAATGTTAGAAATGCCAAGTATAAATTTCATGATTCATCCCTAAACCAAAGTAAATTACCTATTTGGCCAGCAATGACAGGAGGTCTAACAACTAAAAGTATCAGTTTATCAAGCAGAAGATGAAGAAATCTGACCACTGGTTCCAACTGAGATGAATTCAATGCTGAAATACTGCTCTTCAATTCATTTTCTAAGTTATTTTCCATGATTCGCATGTCTCCAATTCGGACTGGGAACATGTGTTCATCCAGAGCATTGACCAGAGCAAAAAACTTATCAAGATAAGGATCCTAAAACAAATAACGAACAAAAAGCACTAAACAAGTATAACTATAAATTTTCCACTTCTGAAGAACTATGGACCACTAATATCTCATATTAATTGATAATATTAAAAAGCACATATAGGTATTTATAAATACTGTTTCCAATTAAACACATCTATTTTCATTTATTATTATAAAACAGCCACTTGAAATACTATTAGTTACTCAAAAACTCTACTGATACTAATTAAGGATTCTTTTTTTAGTTTGAGTTTGCTTTACTAGTTTGGAGCTCAATTATTATGTGAGGCATAGTAGTAACCTACCTGTGCCCATTATTAATTTATTGTCTCTTGGTTCCAAACTTACCATCTTTGTCATATTGTATAATACTGGAGTCATTCTTTTACTGAGGTCTACTTGTATACTGCTGAATACAATTTAGCAATTTTCAAAATTTTTTCTAAACATAGTATAGAGGTGCTGTGTCTTCTTATTTTCCCCTACCTCACTGTGCAGAAAAAAATTAACATAGCAGGCTTAAGACTACTATTCTTTGAAAGGCCTGCTTACAAGGCTGGCTTTCAGCTGATGTTTAGTAACTTCGATTTCAGGACAGTTCCCACTGATAGGGATGGCTCATTGTACCTAAACAGCTTGTACAAACAATATGGTTTATGCTGAACACCTGCTTTTCTTCTGGGAGTCTAGAATTTTGGTATCTGTTAGGCAGAGTGGTGCTTATGTGACAAGCCCTAGTAAAAACCCTAGGAATTGAGTCTCTACTGAGCTTCCCTGGCAGACAACATTTCACATATATTGTTTCAACTCGCCCCGTGTGACTCTACAGGGAAAGGATTCTTGGAAGCTTGTTTCTTGTTTCCTCTGGACTTCACTCCATGCACCATTTTCCTTTGCTGATTCTGCTTTCCATCCTTTCACTAACATAAATCATAGTTGTAAGTATGACTATATGCTGAGTCCTATAAGTCCTGCTAGCAAATCACTGAACTTCAAGTGTCTTTGAGAAGCCCTCCACACCACCCTTTCCCTTTATAGGTTGGTGAACCCCTGAATTCCATTTTAAACACTTACCTCTTCTCACTCTACATTTTCTCCCAGAAAAATCATATTTGCCAATATAGTTTCAGCTATCACATTTATTCTGTTACCTCCAACCCCAAACTCCAGACTAAATACAACTGCCAATAGGACATCTCCATCTGAAGTATATAGGCACTCCAAACTCAACAGGTTCAAAAATAAACTCATATAGTACCATATTTGCTCTCCCTTGGCATACCCCCAAATTAACTTCTTTCATCTTCTCTATTTAGCTTAGAAATTATTATCTACTTGGACTCTATGGCATTCAAGGACCTTCATTACGTGTTACCAGCCTGGTCCTCTATCTTCATGTGCCATGATTTCCTACGCACTTAAAATCACTTTCATACCAGATTACTTGCTGATCCTTCAACACAGACTATTATCGTTTTCTTATTTGATCATCTGAGTTGTCCATTCTCCCTGTCTCTGTATGGTAAATGCCTACTTATCAATGCAACATCCCAATACCCAGCAGAACAGATAACTCTTCTCTGTACTTGAAAGGATTTAGTTAATATATATGAAAGTACTAATTTTATCATATTATAATCATTTTTATATTTTCCCCTATTACACTGTGAGATCCTTGAAAGAATGGTGGTTTCCTTGATAGGTAGCATTTCTGACCTCATAGAGTTTACTGTCTAATGGGGGAAAGAAACAATAAACAAATGTGTGACTATGTATGTATGTGTATACACACACACACACACAAATGGGAAGAGTGAGAGAGACAGTGAAAGGGGAACAGAGAAAAGAGAGGCAGTATCAAGTGCAGTGATAAGGCTGCTAATTTAAAAGAGTCACAAAGATGGCCTCTTTATGGTGAGGAGAAATGCTAATGCAGAGAAGTCAAAATGAATGTCAGGAGGTAACGCATTCCAGCCAAAGAAAGAGTTTAAGTATAAAAGGTTTGAAGAGAATTTGGCCTTTTCTAGAAATAGAGTAAAGAATTTGAAGCAAATGATCCCTAAAAACTGTTTCTATTTGAAATACCTGAGTCTATGACAAAGAAAATGAAATGGATAATGGTTTTTCAACTCTAATTATTCTGCCATGTACTAGAAACTTAGAAAAAAACAAGTCATTTAATTGTCAAAGTTAAGTTAATGACATTTGGAAAAGCACAATGTTTGCTTTTGTTCACATTTAATGACATTTTGTTGATTTCTTACCAAAAAAAACCCTTCTAGATTTGTATGCTTTTAACTAATACATATTTCCCATAAATCTGACAGCAGGTAACAGAACTAAGTATTAGATAATATGTTTAATCCATTCAAGTGAAATTATATTATAAAAATTATTAAAACTCACTTGTGTATGGATAGATGAAACAGCAACAACTTCAACATTAAAAACACCTTTGTGATTATCTACCCATTTCATGCCAGGTAGAGGAACCTGTAAGACATTAAATATAATGGTCACACATGCTTAAATAGATTATGAATTCCAAAAAGGAAAAATTACAATATCTCAATGAGAAAAAATACTGTGAAAATATATTTTTATTCATTGTAAATAAGTTAAAATTTACATTTCATTCTTATTAAAAACCAATAAATATTTTCTACAAAAGAATTAAAAGGCTCAAGGGGCAAAAGGCATAATACACAAAATTTCTATCTTCTCCTGCTATATCATTCCAAATCTTCCTCTCTATACACATATTTTCCTATACATTCTTATATAGTTAACACCAAACATATTATTTTGAAACCTGTTTTTCACATATTACAATGTTAATCTTTTTTAATGTCAATAAATTCATATTTGTGTTATTCTAATGATTTATAATATTCAATTTTCTTTAAACATTCCTATTATGTTTTAATTGGGCTTTAAAATATTCACAGGCAAAGGAAGCCTGTTGTTTTAAAGATTAGAAAACTTTTTTTCTGATATAAATTGCTAGAAACATCAATTAAAATTATTTCATAAAAATAATTTTTAAAAGCAAGTACATAAATTGTCTCTATTCCTCCTGCTAAGTACAGATAAAAACCCTGAAACACGACATGTAAAATGAACATAAAGACTCTGAAGGGTAGAGAGAAGAATGAAGATGGGCTCTGGATCTTAGGGTGCAAGAAACCACAAGGCAGTTATTTCTTGGGTTTTATTTTTGCCTCATATATACTGGACTAGATGAGGCTGGCAATCCAGAAACATCAAAAGAGGAAGACAAACAAAGCCCAAAAAAAAGCCTGCTCTCTACAGCCACAGCCAATAACACTCCAGCCAGTCACAAGAGAATAAATCTTGGTCCCATGCCTATCTCTACAGGCTGAATGGGGAGCCTAGGCTGCTACCCTCAGTTGGCTATAATAAGGTACCCCTCTCTCGAACCCACCCAACACACACTGGGGGGTGGTGTCAGAGAAGACAGAGTTGGGAGTCTGTCCCCACCTGGTGATAACAAGCCCTCAAACAACTGCAGTGTCAGTGGAGGTCAAGCAGGGGGCAGTAACAAGGTGCCCCTCCCCCTCACAACCAGGGAGGTGTCAGCAGAGGCCTCATTCGGAGACTGAACCACCCCCACCCAACCCACCCTAGGGAGTAAAAGGAGGAAGAGTGGGTAATGTGGACTTTCATCTCTACCTGGAGGTAGGGCCTCCCTCCCCCACTGCTAAAACAATATTTAAATAAGATCTACAGTCTTACAACATAATACCCATGATGTCCAGGATATAATTCAAAGTCATATCTCATACCAAGACCAGGAAAATCTCAACTTAAATGAGAAAAGACAATCGTCAGGCACCAATACTAAGATGACACAGATGTTAAACAGATCTGACAAAGAGATTAAAGCAGTCATCATAAAAAAATGCTTCAACAAACAATTACATATATCCTTGAAACAAATGAAAAAAGTAGAAAGACACAGCAAAACAAGAATAAATAGAAAATATGAAGGATTTCTTTCCCATCTTTTTTATCATATGTAGGAAAGAAAACCAAGCAGAGTCAGTTTCCTGTTACGTATTTCAACACGAAGTAGATAAGAAGTTCAGTATCTCTACTGAAGCAAATAATGCAGGTTTTGAAACAATTTTTTGAAAAAGGTGGTGGAGCAAATTGAAATCCATCAAAGCAAGAAACAGTATTAACTTTTTCAATCCAAAATATTTATTTTCAGATTAAAGAAAAATATACAAGTAATATATGCACACATACTTCTTTAAAAACAACAGTTCTCAAAGTTTGGTCTTAGAACCAGCAGCATAAACATCATCTGGGAATTGTTACAAATGGAAATACTCAAGCCCCAGACCTACTGCATCAGAAACTAGAAATAAGGTTCAAGAACTGGTGCTACAACACACTCTGTAGGTAATTTTGATGCATGTTAAAGTAAGAACTACTATCTTAAAATACTCTAACAAAGCCTGAGCAAGAGTGAGTCCCCCATCTCTACAAAAAATGAAAAAATTAGCCAGGTGTGGTGGCACATGCCTGTTGTCCCAGCTACTCAGGAAGCTGAGGCGGGAGGATCGCTTGAGCCCAGGAGTTTGAGGTTGCAGTGAGCTATGATGATGCCACTGCACTCTAGCCCAGGTGACAAAGTGAGACCCTGTCATGCAAAAAAATCAAACCAACACAAATAACTCTAATAAGCAGTGGCAATAGCAATGGCATAACAAATGCTTCTATAGCACTTTTTATGCCAGCACTATTCTAAAAGCTCTTCATATTATCGTATCATTCAATCAATATAACCCATTACTTTAGTTATTAATTATTCTCCTAATTTTACAGAAGACAAAACTGTGGCACACAGAGTGTGGGCTGCCATAACAAAACACCATAGCCTGGGTGGCTTAAACAACAGAAATGTATTTTCTCACAATCCTGGAGACTAGAAATCCAAGATCAAGGTGCCAGCATGGTCAGTTTCTGATGAAGGCTGTCTCCTTGGGCTGTAGATGGCCTCCTCCTTGCTGTTTTCTCAGATGGGTGGGTGGGGGGCTGGAGCATGCAAGTGCACAAGATGGTGAGCTAGACTGTGTGCTCACACAAGCTCTCTAGTATCTTTTCTTATAAGGGCACTAATCCCATTATGAAGACCCCACTCTTATGACCTTGTCTAAACCTAATTACCTCTGCTTTGTCTCTAAAGTTAGGAATTACTTTGCCAGTAAGAGACTGCCTTTTAAAGTTCTTTTGATATTGGACAATGCCCCTGGCCACCTAGAACCCCATGAGTTCAACACCAGCACACTGAAGTGGTCTACTTTTCCCCAAACACAACATCTCTAAGTCAGCCTTTAGATCACAGGGTCACAAGGACCTTTAAGGCTCATTATATATGGTATGCTATGGAAAGGATTGTCAACACTAAGGAAGAGAACTCCGATAGAGAGAACATCATGAAAGTCTGGAAGGATTTACACCACTAAAGATGCCATTGTTGTTATAGAAGAAGTCGTGAAAGCCATCAAGCCCAAATCAATAAAGTTCTGGAGAAAACTGTGTCCAGAAGTTGTGTAAGACTTCACAGGATTTACAACACAGCCAATCAAAGAAATCATGAAAGAGATTATAGACATGGCAAAAAAGGTGTGTGTGTGTGTGTGTGTGTGTGTGTGTGTGTGTGTGTGAAGACTTTAAAGATAAAGATCTTGGAGAAATTCAAGAGCTAACAGACACCACGCCAGAGGAATTAACAGAAGGCAACTTAATGGAGGTAAGTGCTTCTGAACCAGTGCCAGATGATGAGGAAAACATAGAAGAAGCAGTGCAGGAAACCAGATTGATGGTAGACAATCTGAGCTCCAATTATTCAATACTGCTTTTGACTTCTTTTACAGCCATGGACCCTTCTATGATAAGGGCACTGAAACTGATGCAAACAGTGGAAGAAGGATGGGTACTATACAGAAACATTTTTAGAGAAATGAAAAAGCAAAAAAAAGTCAGACAGAAATTATGACATATTTCTGTAAAGTTACACTGAATGAGCCTGCATTTCCTCCCTCCCCTTCCACCTCCTCTACCTCTTCCACTTCTGCCACCCCTGAGACAGCAAGACCAACCACTCCTCTTCCTCCTCCTTCCCAGCCTACTCAATGTGAAAATGAGGATCAAGACCTTTATGATGAAGCACCACATGTACTCACCATCAAACTGATCAACACTGAAGTGCACATATAGTAATAACATTCATCGGGTGTTGGGCAGATGGGGGGGCGGAGAGGATGGGTATATTCACACCTAATGGGTGTGGAGCGTACTGTCTGGGGGATGGACATACTTGAAGCTCTGACTAGGGCAGGGCAAAGACAATATGTGTAACCTAAACATTTGTACCCCTGTAATATGCTGAAATAAAAAAAAAAAAGACCTTTATGATGATCCACTTGTACTTAATGAATAGTAAATATATTTTCTCTTCCTTATGATTTTCTTTTCTCTAGCTTACTTTATTGTAAGAATACAGTATATAATACATATAACATAGAAAATATGTGTTAATGGACGATTTATGTTATAGGTAAGGCTTCTAGTCAGTAGGCTATTAGCAGCTGAGTTTGGAGGACTCAAAAGTTATACATTTTCAATTGCACAGGGGTTGGTGCCTTTAACCCCTGTGTTGTTCAAGGGTCAACTATATACAAAAGTTTTAGCTCTTAATCAGGTGGTTTATTTCACATATCCATCAGCTATGCTATATAGCTACAGTTGAATCCAAATTATCACCATATTCTTTATATATGTGCATATATAGCATTGTAGCTAGAAGAAAACCATCAGTTTCCCTCTAGAAAGCTATCTTGCATTTGCAAATCAATTAAGTAAAAACAAATCCTGTAACTTCCACAAAGTATACTTTCTTTTAAAACATTTCCTTTGAAATATAATGTATGTCTGACTAAAGGCTCCCTCCACCCCATCCCTGCCTTTCTTTTTTTAACAAAGCCACATAAAGCCATCACTGAAAAGATGTGTTCCTGGAAAACTGAATGAAAGATGTAGGGGAAAGGGAGTCATATTTCTTTCTTACTGTCTTTATTTGTTCATTTAATAAAGACTTATTGAGTGCTTATGATGTGCCTAGGACTATTCTATAATACATACTTCTAGATTACAGCAATGAACAAGACAGACAGTCCCCCTACCCTTATGGAGCTTATACTCTATGGAGAATAAATATTAACAAAGAAATATTAAATATAATGTCAGTGATAAATGATATCAGGAAAATAAAGCAAAATAAAGAGATAAAGTAGTGGAGGCTGCTACTTAAGATAGAATAATCACGGAGGACTTTCCTGGAGAGGTGCTATTTGAGTGTATATCTAAGTGAAATAAAGAAGCAGGCCTTGTGGCATTGCTAGCAGAGGGAAGTACAAAGGGCCTAAGAATACACTCTTCATGTTTTAGCAACAGCAAGGGCTCTGTACTGTGTGACTAGTGCAAAGTGAGTAACAGAGAAAGGTGAGAAATGAGGTCAGAGCAATAGCCTCGAATTGCTTTTTTTAAAAATAAAAATAATACGAATTTATTTGTGAATACTTTTGTAGTTGATTCTAAAAACAAATGCCACCAGGAGAATAGTCACAAGACATATTTCAGATTAACGTTTATAAGCAGTTATGGTCAAAATCATTAAGCAACATTGGTAATTATCATGTAATAGTTCTCTCAAGAGGTCCTTTGGCTTGTGAACAATAGCTGTTGATTCTTGATTGAAATTTTCCCAATGTTTTTGTTACAAGTCTTTCAAATCACACATGTAATCATCAAAGCTGCTAATATTTCTTGTATGCATGTTTATAGCTACTTTGTTTTCACTTACATAATCAATTATGAAAATATTCTAAAAAATTAATTTAAATCTGTTTTTCTTCCTCCAGTCTTTTAGTGAAATATTAATAGTTTACTAAAAGAAAGAAATATTCATTTATTCAAAGAAGCTTCTTATGTTAAAATATGAAAATTCTCCAAATTGATCTTTTCTTTGAGTTTATATTTCACATATTATTTTGGTTTTAAAATGAATATACATATTTAGGGAAAAAAACAGAATAAAGGCTTCTAAGTTTTACACACAGGAATTTTAATCATCATGGAAGGGTAACTTTTACTTCATTATCTACACACTTATAGGCAGAAGAAATAGGGAGGTTTTGTTTGGTAAAATCATCTTTATAATGAAAAACCCAATTCATTCAATCTGGAGAATTATAACATGGGAAATACTGACCTCAGGAGACAGGACAGAATAAGCCTGTGGTGGTTTTTCCAGTGAGACCGGTAGGCAAAACTGGCCAGTCTTCAATCGTCCATTCTGAAGCATTGGTATCCACTTTTAAATAAAAAGAGAAGAATTTTAATTTAAATTATGTTTGTTATGAAAATAATTACTTGGAAAGCCTATTTTAAGAACTTGGTATAAGCCAAATTAACTCATCACCGAACATTAAGGGATTTAATTATATAAGTAATAATAATCAGCCTTCATAATGCTAAAGGAGAAGTTTCTCTGGTAATATTTTATTAAGGAGGACATCCCCAAAACATTCTTATTCCTAACTGCTCAATATTTAAATCTATAGGGGGTCCTTTAAGGGAAAGTTGGTCTTAGAAAAAGGCCACAAAGTGAATCAATTTTAAAACTGAGATAATAGTTTCAATGTAAACAGTGAAAGATAGATTTGATTAGAAATGAATGCTAAAATCAAAACTAAAAATTATGAACATAAATTTATCTTCTTATAGTTAGCAAAATTCATGCCACAGACCACAAGAGACAAAAATAATGGATCAAATGTTGATTTTTCTCTTTTGGGTGAAAGCATGATTTTTCTGACAAAACTGTGTGACAGCACATTATGATGTCCTTCATCTTAAGTTTACCTCTGCAAGTCACTCATAATAATTTTTGAAAAATATTCAAGGGTTTTAGTTTCTTTTCTAAGAGTCT